CTCAGAAATCATGCCAAATAAAACTGATTCTTTGATTTATGAACATATTACTATAATTATTAATTTTAATGACCACTCAGCATATTATTGAAAAGCTGGGAATCTCTATTGGTGTCTGTCTTCTGTATTTCTTGTGTCTAATAGTGTATTTATATCAGAGTACAGTACTAATAGCTTCTTGCAAGCCGGGTCAGGTCCATTCTTTCCTACAATTAATGTGGGTGGTCAGATGTGTTCTGCCTGTCCAAGGTTATATTCCAGCTTTGACCAACGAAAGCATAAAGCTGGCACTTTGCCTCGTGACCTCTGCTACTCCCCTTCAGGGCCACTCTGCATTCATGGCAAGTTGGGTCTTTGTCTTGGGAGAACAGTATGTATGTGGCATTTTGACCTTTGCCACAAATGTGGAAAGAAGACAACATTGTTAATCTGTCATTAGGGCTGTGTGACCTTGAATTTGTTATTTTTCCTCTTCAAACCTTAGTGTTTTTTTTACAAACATGCTTTGTTAAAATGAGGGACTTCATATATATGATTTCTGGTTATGAATGAGGGAAATGTTAAAATATTCCCCAAATTGAGGACATTAAAAATCCCGTAGATGGGTGACTCTGTTAGAAGAAGGTGGCCATTCCTACTTCTCAGAATGTCAGGGAAGCTTGGCAAGGATATTTACCCCTTTGAATCATAAATCATAATATTTTTATAGGAAGGTTTCACTTTGTTGATTAACAGCCAAGGAAACTGCTCCCCTGGGAGTGTATCAGAATCACAGAAGGACTTTGTCAACATGGTCCCATTCTGTACCCTCCCCCCATGAAGAGTCATTGCCAGGAGAAGGCGCTGTTGTTGGTCCCACAGTTGGGGCAAAAGGAGTAACACTTTCTTACAAAACAACAAATAACATGGAGGTATTCAAGTCCTTTTTAACTTCATAGAAACCTTTTTATATATATGGGCAAAGATAAAGAGATAAAATGTATCTGGTTCTGTGCTTTAATGATAAGACATAAACCTTTTACTCCTCTGATAGATTTTTCTCTGCTCACCATAGGTAACAGGTTTTTTGTGTGTTTTTCTTTAAGGAATCTATACAAGTACTAATTTCACTCAGCTACTTGGTATTTATTAAGCTACCTGTCTGATTTCAAATGATGCCTAGTTCCTGTGCCCTGTTATTAGTATTCTGGCATTTTGTGTTTGAGGGATGGAGGTTAGTAATTTGAATTCAATGGAATGTGCTAAAGTTTTATTCATGAGAGTACAAGGGAGTCAGGGACAGAGTTCCATTTTGTACCCTATATTCTAAAGAAAATCAGCAAAAAACACAGTGGGTGACAGGGAACTGATTCCTTCAAGGCCCCAGTAATATTAAGGCCTTCTTAAGCAGAAACTATGAAATAAACTGAAGTCGAGGAGTCAGTGATAGGAACTGAGGCAGTTTTACTTTGTGGTTTAAGAACAGACCTATGCTAATACTTCCACGAAAAGACCCACCGAGAGGAATAAGCTCTTTCTCCATCCCACCTTTTCTTTGCTTCCAACAAGCTCGGTGGTCTGCGAGCGTCTTCCTTTTGTTGGATAACTTACTGGTACCTAAACAGCCAGAGGCTCTCAATCTTGCCCCCCTGCAATTGCGCAAACATCCTTGGATCAGTTCAGGGGTGGCACTGGCTGGAACTGATGCCTACAGCCAAAGCGTACAACTGCATTTCCCCCCCTTTTTCCTTCCCAGCCCCTGGCTGTGTTTTAGTTGCGTGGCAACCCATCTGCTGTGATAGCTGATGTCAGCTCATTTTCACTTAAACTTGGCCCAGGAAAGTTTTCAAGATGGGCACTTGAGTTTGCATAATGCTGGGGGAAGGCTCCGGTTTATGTTACCAAATCATAAAACTGCAGACTAATGGTCTCTGGCAGGGGAAATGTAAATGCGGATCACAGGGGATTAGCTTTCAGAACAGTGTGGCCTTAGGGACTTCGTTTCTAACTTTTTAGGAGCTTAGCAAATGAGCCTCAGCCATATTCTATTTGCTGCTGAAGGTCTCTCTGTGCTTTAAAGGAATAAGAAGTGTCCAAAATTACCCTAACTCCTCAATATTAGCATTTAGCCAAATACTTGATATGCCTGTTTTTGAAAGAAGGGCCAACATTTTCCCTGGGTGCCTAAGCAGCAGTTGGGAGGAAAAAGGAGTCATCTAGTGTATAATAGGTAGAAAAATATTCCTTTAGTCCAGCAGAGGGCAGAAGGGAGTTTTAGCTTTTTCTCACCTATGACTATCCAAATTTGTGACAATCCCAGGCAAAATTCAGGGACATGTTTGTAAACAGATGATTGCGCAGCCCGTTACTGCCTGAGTTATTCTGGTTGTAAAGACAGACTCTAGTTACTGTGCTCAGAGCCAGTGTGATCCTGTCTATAAAAGGATGCACGGAAGACTGAGTTCTTTATGCCTAAAAGGGGACAATGGCGTTGTACCCAAATAATAGCACCGCTCTCCATTGATTCAGATCTTGATTACTAACCACAGTACGGCAGTTTGCAGTTTTCCCCCATTTATGTTTGTGGCACTCCAAATAGTGCAATGAAAGAATATTTGAAACAAAGGTGAGGAAATTATTTCATTATCAGATGTTTCTCTTTTAATGTAACAGTACCTACATGTAACTCTATAAAATAGTGAAAATGGTTTTCACAACCTACTCTGGCTTCTGAGAAGTCAATATTACCCTCTTACCACTAAGCTGCAACTTGGGGCGGCAGTGTTGGTGCCATTGTCAGATGAGGTTAATACTGAAACATGATGACAATTAAGAAATTAGCCCTGGCCTGCGTACTGCAGGGTCCCAGGTTCAATTCCTGCCAAGGGCACGTACCTCAGTTGCAGGCTCGATCCCCAGCTCCGGTCAGGGTCCGTGCAGGAGGCAACCAGTAGACGTGTCTCTCTGACATTGGTGTTTCCCTCTCCCTCTCTCTCTCTCTTTCCCCCTCCCTCTCCCCCCCTTCCATTCTCTCTGAAAAGTGTGGAAAAAATATCCTCAGGTGAGGATTAAAAAAAGAAATGAGCCTTTGTCTTGGTGTTTATATAATTTTAAATCCTGCTTATTAACCTTTGGATTTTAAAAACACTTTTAAAAGGAACATAAATTTTCCACACTGATTTGTAGGGAAGGCTGTTTTTGCTTGGGGTACTATGTTGTATCTTTCTTTTTTTCTGACCTCTTTCTCTCTCTCTCTCTCCCTCCCTCTCTCTCTTTCTTTCTTTTCTTCCTTAGTATGATATAGAGACTTAGATTGGGTTCCCCAGGAAGCAGCCCCTATAATGGACATGGGATATTTCCTGAGGAGCAGCCCTGGCTCTGCACCTGTGGAAGGGAGCAGGGCGGGGAAGGAAGCAGGTCAGGCAGAGGGAGTTTGATTTCCCCGCGGGCCCAGGGTCAGCCTTAGCTCCCCACCGGGAACTCTGCATTCACATGACTCCTCAGAGTGCCCTGAACTGGAGCCCTCCCATGCCAATCAGTTATTGGATGTGTACCCTCCACCCCCACCCCAATCACGGGACAGGGCCTTGGTTGAGGTGGCTCTTTACAGCTCACACAGTCATTAAGGGGTTACAGCACCCCCAGCAGCTGGGACAAGCTGTCCTTTAGTGAAGAAGGTGGCTCATCTAGCACAGGTTGGGTGAGAAAGAGCTCCCAAAATTAGGTACTTTGGATTTTCTTTTTGATAAATTGTTGCCTCTTTACCATTGGATAACTTACTGATTGCTTTAAAAAGAAATTGATAGCTTGCTATATTCCAATCTGTAGGGAAGGAGATGGTACTAAATAAGAGACTTTTTCATGGTTAATGTGGTTTGAAAAATAGGATTTTAAAGAATGAAAATGAGAATTTTTTTTATTTATAAGTAAGCGTTAAATTCTGAAATATATAGTGGTAGCACAGATACATATATATGGTTTATTTATTTGCATTGATGTTGTCCTATGAATAACAAACTATGTTGATTAAATGTAATTTCAGAAAATAATGGCATTGTAGTTTGTGGTAGTTCTTTGCAATCGATGGGCAAAAGTTGTTGAATAAATCACAGAAAGTGATGCTGGTCGTCTGTCCGATAGTAAAGCACAGGAGGCAGGGATGGTAGGTTTGTATGCTGTTCATGGAACCGTCACTTATGTCTAGTCTTTATTTCAGCACTTCATGTTTAAGCTCTGTTAATTCCATCTAGCCATTTGTCATTCAGTCATAGTAGCTTCACTTGTGTGCCTCCTGGGTGCGGACCCCTGTGCCTGCTTAATGAGACATGGTTCTCACCCTCAAAGAGCTCAGAATATCTTTAAAAAATCACATTTGTAACGTTACCACCAATCTCATCAGAAGAGTATACTATTTGGGAAAATGTTAGGTTCATGATGAAGATCAGTTTTCTAAAAGTTATTTTTTATTGAAAGCTCCAGTTTTTACATTGGCAGTAAATATTTCAGTTGTTTTCATGAAGACAGGCTCATTGTGGTAATTTTTAAAAATGAAAATGTCTATCAAATACCCATCTGAATACCCATATTTTATTAATTGTTTTTAAAGTAAAAATGGTCCTGGAGAAAAGCAGCTAATTTAGGCCACAGCTCAGAGTCACATTTTTTTTTTAATTTATTGATTGATTTTTAGAGAAAAAGGATGGGAGGGGGGGAGAGAGAAACACATAGACTTTTTGTTCCACTTATTTATGCATTCATGGGTTGATTCCTGTAGGTGCCCTGACCGGGGATTGAACCTGCATCTTGGTGTATTGGGATGGCTCTCTAACCAGCTGAGTTACCCCGCCAGGGCACATGGGTGCTTTTCTTAGAGACAGCTTTTGTGTTTCAGTATGAAGAGGAAGTGCTTTGTGGTTCCTTCCCATTTCTCACACAGGGTATCAGGATATATGAAAGGTGGCTCAAGAGTTGGCATCTAACAAAACTAAAACTAATCTTTTTTTTTCTTTTTCCCCATTAAGGATTTTCTGAAGTGAAACTGGATTTTTTTTCATGCCAGGGCATGTCAGTAGCACAGAATCCGGTGACTGCTCGAACGGTTTGGTCCCACCGCCGTGACTAGTGCTAAGGTGTCAGCAGCTTTGCTTTCCCATTGCTTTTGTGCCATCAGTTCAAGTGTCAACACAGTGAAAAGGCAAACACTACATTAGTATTATGAAGAGAATTGTGACTTCACTGCCCCCTGAAAGTGTCCCACTTCCAGTGTTCGGAGCCCAGGTTGATTTTTGCTGGTGTAGAGGACCGTTTTCAGCAGGGAGAGCCTGGGGGGGGAGGCTGCTTTGGCAAGAGACCAGAGAGCCTGGCTTTGTTTGACCGCAGCAGAGAGAGACCCGGGAAGGAAGGATTGAAGCTTACTGGGGTCTTCAGCCTGAGCGACTAAGTGGATGGCGATACCATTAACCGAGGTGATGACTGGGGAAGAGGAGCCCTGGTTTATGATTGGAAGTGCTTCTGCTGTCACTGAGAGAAATCTATTATAATTCTCCCAGTTGGAAAAGGGTGGATTCAAGCTGGGCCGGTGCTGGAGCCTAAGGTCTGGTTTTGCACGGATGACGAGTGGTGGCTTTTGGAGGCTCCGCACATTCTGTATTAATGCGTGGCTCTCGTGTCTGCTTCCTGTAATAGTACTTTCTCTTTCTGATTCTAGGAATGGTGCAAAAGCTGGACCAAAAGCTTCCAGTGGCCAATGAGTACCTGTTGCTCTCTGGAGGAGTCCGGGAAGGCGTGGTGGACCTGGACTTAGATGAGCTTAATATCTATGCCCGGGGTACTGACTACGATATGGACTTTACCCTTCTGGTGCCAGCCCTTAAGCTGCATGACCGTAATCAGCCTGTGACACTCGATATGCGCCACTCAGCCTTGTGCCACTCTTGGCTGAGCCTCCGGCTCTTCGACGAGGGGACGATCAGTAAATGGAAAGACTGCTGCACCATCGTGGATCATATCAACGGTGCCACCAACTACTTCTTCTCCCCAACCAGAGTGGCCGACTGGTTCTATGACTCCATCAGCATCGTCCTGTCGGAGATCCAGAAGAAACCCCAGCGCGGGATGCCAAAGGTGGAGAAGGTGGAAAAGAACGGGACCATCATCTCCATCATTCTGGGTGTGGGGAGCAGTCGCATGTTGTACGACATTGTCCCGGTGGTGTCCTTCAAAGGCTGGCCTGCGGTGGCCCAGAGCTGGCTCATGGAGAACCACTTCTGGGATGGGAAGATCACGGAGGAAGAGGTCATCAGTGGGTTTTACTTGGTGCCTGCTTGCTCCTACAAGGGGAAAAAGGACAACGAATGGCGGCTGTCCTTTGCCAGGAGCGAGGTGCAGCTGAAGAAGTGCATCTCCAGCAGCCTCATGCAGGCCTACCAGGCGTGCAAAGCCATCATCATTAAACTGCTGTCCCGGCCCAAGGCTATCAGCCCCTATCACCTGCGGAGCATGATGCTCTGGGCCTGCGACAGACTGCCCGCCAACTACTTGGCTCAAGAAGACTACGCAGCCCACTTTTTGCTGGGCCTCATTGATGACCTGCAGCACTGTCTGGTCAACAAGATGTGCCCCAACTACTTCATCCCTCAGTGCAACATGCTGGAGCACCTGTCGGAGGAGACCGTGGTGCTCCAGGCGCGGAAGCTGTCGTCTGTGCGCTCAGACCCCGCGGAGCACCTGCGCACGGCCATCGAGCACGTCAAGGCAGCCAACCGGCTGACGCTGGAGCTCCAGAGGCGAGGGAGCACCACCAGCATCCCCTCCCCGCAGTCGGACGGAGGGGACCCCAACCAGCCCGACGACCGTTTGGCCAAAAAACTGCAGCAGCTGGTGACTGAGAACCCGGGGAAGTCCATCTCTGTCTTTATTAACCCCGATGACGTCACAAGGCCCCATTTCAGAATTGATGATAAATTTTTCTGAGCATTTTGCTGCCTTTTCCCCCTCCTGGTTCTGAAACTCACATCCTGTGTCATGTGGTTTGTGCCGCTCCACTGTCTTTCCGTTTTTACACATCCAGCCCCGATTGGATGTGAAGGACGCAGTTGAAGTCTCCTGTTTCTGCAGGACGGTGCAGGCTCTGAAACAGTATATTACTATTTCTTATTCTGCCTCTGGTTTTGTTTACTGTTTATAGTTATTGTCACATAGTTTTTTGGTTTTTTTTTAAAGAAGAACTTGAGCCATAGACGAAGATGCCCATGAATTCTCTTGCTTTGTCCTGTTTCATACTTTCTGCGAATTTGTTAATGGGAATGGGGATATAGACCTCTTTCTGACACATAAGGATTCTATTATTTTTTGTTTTGGTTTATTTGTCTTTATTTTTTTTAATGAGCTGTCATCACTACAGCTATCTGAGAATCTCCTGAACCTGGGAACTACCTGGTGTGCTAGGCGGATCGAATTCTTTTCACCAGTGGCCAGAGTAGTTTCCCCTTTCCACCAAACACTGTCGACTTCGAAACTGATAATGCTACAATTCTGTTTTGGAGCAACTTCATTGAATGTAATTGTCCTCAGATCAGAACTTTGGATGGTTTGGAGGGTGTGTTTGACAGCTTTCCAAACAGAATTAAGGTTCCCAAATGGTAGTTTTAGTGTGTGTAATTATTTGAAGCCTTATTTAAACCTTATTAAAGAACATACCATTATAATTGTTATTTGCACTAATGAAACCATTGCCATTGTCAGAGTTCCCATGTGTGTGTTTCAGTATAAATTGACATTCTCTGTTGAAATGCTATCTTTTTTGTTTTTAGCCCATTTCTCTCAATCAGTGGAGGGATTCTTTACATTTGTTTACTTCTTTAATTGTGGGCTCCTGTTTTGCCCTCTCTGATGGTCCTGGTTCCTGTCTTACTGAGAGAACTTTTTAAAGCTTTATACCTGCTGAGTGACTTTACCTGAAGCTGGGAAAATATATACTTGATAGAATAGGTGTCTTTGTATGTATTTCTTTTGGGGTTATAAGGGTAAGCTTTTTTTGTAAAGTCTCTTTGCTTCTACTGAGAGTTTTGAGGAAAACTGGCAGGAAGAATTTACAATCCCCAAATAGAAGATATGCCTGTTCCAAAGCAGGTCGGCTATAGAGCAGAAACCAGGATGTCTCTGTGGGCAGCAGCCATGGTGTAGAGCTATCCCATCTTCATGAATAAAATTTCCTGCCATGCGTAGGTGCCACAAAGCATTGGCTCCGTTTTGGTACGGACTCACTGCCAGCTGTGGTGGTTGAGAGGTCAGGGGCCTGCTGATCTCTCAAAGAATGACCTCGATGTCTACTATTGGGAAAATCAAGCAACATTGTGGTTTTGATCTTGAATGTCCAGACTTACAGGTTCGATTGAAATCAGGCATATGTGGTGGTCCTGGGGTTTTGCATGGGAATTAATGTAATGTTTATAAATGAAAATGAAATCATCCAACCATCTTAAGTCAAACATAAAAATAATCATAATAAAAGAAACATACTGGCCTTGGAATTTTGTTGTTGCTGCTGTTGTTAGTTTGTAATGAGGCTACTATTTTCTTGTTAGTAATTCCAACAGTAATTTTCAGTAAAATTGGGGCTTACTATTATCTTTGAGACCTGATTTTCCTGTAGTGAACACCCAGTATTCTTTCTTCCCTTCCCCTATTTGTTTTTTTTACTAGTATCTACCTGTCCTCCACATAATCTATGTCCTTCTTGGAAAATGACTGTATCCCAAGCTCCAAACTGCACCGATTGGTGTAGGCCAGTAGACATAACCATTTCCCTGGCCACAGTCACTCACTGGGCATTGGCGTGGAATGTAAGCTGCTCCAATCAGACATGCTCGGGTTCCAGATCAGGATGCTGGGCAGAGCATGCACTCTGGATATGGAAGACGAAGCCCTTGGCCTCTGTCACTCTCACAGCTGTCACAGAATCATGACTAGAGTCAGCCTGAGGATGAAACTGACACTGGGTGACAGTGAGATGGGGAGTGGGTAACATAAGTCACCACACTCTGCCCTACCCCCTCCCAAGTCTGAGACTTCTCCTCCCACTGGACTTTCTACTTAAATGAGTCAACACTAGTTTTTTGGGTTTTTTTTAATACTCACCTGAGGATGTTTTTTCCATTGCTTTTCAGAAAGAGTGGAAGGGGGAGAGAGAGAGAGAGAGAGAGAAACATCAGTGTGAGAGACACATCGATTGGTTGCCTCCTGCACGTGCCCTGACCGGGGATTGAGCCTGCCACTGACGTCCATGTCCTTGACCAGAATCCAACCTGAGACCCTTCAGTATGTGGGCCAACACTCTAACCACTGAGCAAAACCTACTAGGGCAACACTTAGCTCTTTTAGCAGTTTGAATGTGGTTCAGTTCATCAAAATATTTAAATTGGCACACTAAACTCTCGAAGTGTATTTAAACTATTTAAGTTGTTTGTCTCTTTTCTTTCTAGGAATAGATATCAAGGATATCCATGCATTTTATCTAAAAACTGGTTTATGCTATCTGATTTAATTAATTCCAAAGAATAGCATAGCCTCTATAACTAATAAATATTTACCTGGTGAAGTCTGTTAAAATTTATTATACTTTGACCTTTATGCTAAACTTCCTGAGTTAAAAGAAATTGTTATAAACCACTGAAGTAGCAGGCACATTCAAAGGCATTGGCTCCCTTCAAAGTCAAGTCTACACTGCTGCTATACCTGTGTTTTGAATTGGCATCTCCAGTTAAGTCACCAACATTTACGGTATTTCAAATGCTGTTTGCAGACAATATTTTGTTACAGGTGTCATAAGAACCTAGCTTCAGTGATCTTTTTGGCACCTTTTTTTTTTTTCTCCTTTTGCCACCTCAAATTCTAGTGAGGAACTCTACAAATTCTTGCTAAACTTCATTGAAAAGTCCAGAGGCCCCTGGGATCTAGTAATTTTAAAACTTTTTTTAATTCCTGGAATTACGATCAGCACTATAAACCTAAGACTCAGGCCAGACCCCGTGTTGAAGGTAGGTAAAAATAGGATGGAGCTGATACCTTTCCTTGTCTGGAACTTAGAAAATCATTGAACTACTAACCTTTCTTCTGAAGCCGAAACACTGGTAAAATCACTTCTGTTTCAGGTACAATGTAAAATGCCTTGAGGCTGGAGTCAGAATTTCAGCTTTACTTATAAGTGATTTTTTGGCTGTGGGAATTCACAGGCTGTAACTCAACAGGTTTTCAATTGTCTGATGAGACCTGGTTTCACATATGTTATGAGTAGCTTATTCTCTACCCTCTGCCTTTCTCATATGAACTGTAAGATCCAAAGACATTTGAAAAATAGGGAGTATCCCTGAAATTGTTCAGAATTGTTTCAGAGAAAACGAGAGGCAGGCATATCTGGCTCATTTTACTTTCAGGTGGAGATGCGAGGAAGCGGGGAGGCAGGTGTCTTCTGGGGCTGGTAGAAGAGTCCTTAGTCATTTCTGCATGGCCCCCCTTACACACACCTGCACACACGCACACACCCGCTTTCGCATCACTGACGAGGTCGCTTTAGCCTGACTGTTCATAACACTTCCTGCGGGGATTAGGCCCGCTGGCTGGTCACAGGTACGAGCTGATTATTTGGGATCAGGCCGCCTTGCTGAGGAAAGCTTCCTGGCGAGTCAGCCTTGCGTGGGCTTGTGCTTAGCAGCAGCTGCCGGGCCCGGCGCCGGGCGGCTTCCCGCTGCTCCAGGGCCCTGCCGTGGCCTTCGGGGAAGTAGGTGACCGTCGTCTGCTAAGGTCACTCCAGAACCTCCTCCCTCGGGTGGTCCAAGGGCTGCGTGCATGGCCGTCTCCCGCCCAGCTGATCATTAGAGGGGTCCAGGAAGGATTTTTATTTCACGCTCCCCATATGCTGACCTGGAGGGTAAAACTTCTTGCCATTAAATGGAGCCCTAACTGCTGTTTATACTAAAGGAAGATTGGGCATCATTTTCTGTTACTGTTACTTTGTTAATATCAGATAAAAACATACATATTTTTCACTGATTGAAGTGATATAATTAACGCTCCTCTCTGAGGAAAATAGCCAATTTAAAAAAATGTACCTCTTATTCTGTCATTTCCTCAGTAGGTAAACAATATATGATCTAAACATTGTTTAGAATAAATATTCGCCAGTGGAGAGTTATTGGCAACACGTCCAAAATTCTCTTCTGTTAATTAGCTGGAAAATATATTGTTTTTTTTTTAACTCTCACCCAAGGACATTTTTCCCATTGCTTTTCAGAGAGAGGGGAAGGGAGATAGAGAGACAGAAATATCAATGTGAGAGAGACACATTGATTGGTTGCCCCTGACTGGGGCTGGGGATCGAGCCTGCAACAAGGCACCTGCCCTTGACCAGAATCAAACCTGGTGCCCTTCAGTCTGCAGGCCCACGCTCTAACCACTGAGCCAAACCGGCCAGGGCTTTACTTTCTAACAGAACATTCATTGTATAAGCTAGAAATCAAGCTGTAATAATTTAACAATAATCGTATCTCTCCATTTTATAGTGATATCCTAATAGCAGTACATTCAAAAGCATCATGCTTCATAGATCATTTGCTGTATGAGACTAAACTTTTATACTAATGTAGTGTGATCCTGGCCGCCTGAGTTCGGGTGGCAGTTTTCAATCTACAATTGGGTCCAAACATTCATCAAACATCAGGGAGCCCATATGCCTGGGTCTGTGCGTTAAGAACAATGCAGACATTTCAGAAAAGTCACACTTCAATCCCCCACATAAAAGCACTGGTGTTCAAAGATCTTCCCAGACACACTGAGCCTCACGTTGGTATGGCAGTTGAGATGAGAATATTTGATTTTCTAGATCACTTCCCATTTCTTTTCAGGATGAACAGACTCTTCGTGTGACTTTGGTAGGGGTAAACACATTGATACAGCTTCCATATGCCCTCTTCTGCTCCACCAATTAATCACAGACGCTAAAGGGGGCTAAGTGGGGGTAGAGGCTAAAACTTGTTTCTCTGACTTTACTTCCATACCAGTGAAGTGCAGAACCGGGGTAGCTGCTCCCTTCCTTTCTGGCTTTCCCAGTCTAAGATTGCCTCTGTTGCCAAATCATCTCAGTTTTAGGTTTATAAATTTATGTACACACCTGACATTAATTAATGTACAATTTACGACTGATAAATGGGATTTGCAGACCCAGGCAGGGGCTCCAGATGACCGGCGGCAGATGGAAATGGCAGGGAGTGCTCAGATGGGGGAGGTTAATGAGAGGAGGCTGCTTTTGCTTACCCACCCCCCCTCTTTTCACTCTAGGTGGCATTACTGTTCTGCCAGCTCCCCAAGGCCAGTCTCGTGGTCATAAGTACAGATCTCTCTGCGCCCTCTGCACAGCTGTCTTTGTGACATTTTATAAAGCTGTGGCTTACAAAAGGATTTTACTGGAAAACTGAAATTCTTTTGGCTCGCAGGTCACTAAATATAGCTTGAGCACTGACCTTAGCAAACTCACACATCAGTTTTGTTCAGCATTTTTTTATGCAAAAATTCTGAGAGAAACAAAGCCATTTGGGGATTTGCATGACAAGAAGGTAAGACTATACTGAGTATATAAATTTGCTTCAGTTAGTCTCTAAGTACCACGTGCACCTCATGGTAGAAACCTTTGGAGCAATGTCTCCCATCGTAATCCTGTGACTCTGACAAGATCACAGCAGGACTCCAGCCAGCGAGGGCCTTCTTTGCTGTCGTATTGACCTTCCAGTCGTCTTGTGTGTTTTTTATGCTAATAGTGTGGAGTAGAGTCAAAGCAAAGTATAACAGAGAATAGGACAGAAGAACAAAGTTGAAGAATGGTTTTGTCATCTTCACGATGAAGGTCCTAGCCTAGAACCTTGGCATTGGCTCCTGTTTATTTTCTATTTTTTTTTACATCCAGACTCAATCTTCTGTATTGTTTTAACAGCAGCTATCATGTAGGACATTGAATGGCCCCACATCATTACATAAAATTCCGTTTTCTGTCTCCCACCTTAAAACATGCTGCAGTTTGATACACAAAAACCTCATGCTTCGGCTTCTCCTAGTAAAATTCTTAGACACCCCTTTTTACTTTTCTATTATTAGAGAATCTCTGTCTTTTAAGTATTTTTACCAGCCAGCCAAAAATATTTTGACATGCTTTCTAAGGGTTGTATAATTATAAGGTTTGAAAATTATAGGCAGGGGATTTTAAAAATAAATTTACAGACTATGTTTTTTCAAACTATACATTCTCCTAATTCCAGAATACCATTAGCAATGACATTCACCCCATTGAGAATCATGTATCTACATAGAAGGACAAGTGGATATTATAGGACTTCTCTAATTCTCTTCTGCCTAAATTGACTTCATAGAAGTACCTGTCTCGCTGGAAAGAGTGATTCACACTGAAATGTCTTTATAGTTAGTTCATCTACAGATTTTGTTCGAGTCAAATCCCCATGATGGAGAGGGGGCCCCATGGAGT